CAGACCGAACTAGCTGAAAGGCGCGCGCTCGTAATTTATTCCGAGCTCGCGACAGCCAGCAAACATTTACACGTGGCGTTGTCAATGAACCAGTAGCGTCGCGATTGTTCTTCTCGACGCCTCGCGCGTCGTCTAATTTCTCCGCAGCACATCCTTCGTAATATATGATTCTCCAGACGTAACGTGCGGCAACTGCGTTTCGCGCGCGCGTGTAAATACGCTCTAAAAATAAAGAGTGCCGTCACGATTCCGTTTCAAGTGTGGTCTCTTGAAAAAAAGAAGCCTCTTTGGAAAATTACGTTATATCCGAGGCTCTATTTTAAGTATGGTACGTACACTCCTGTCCATAAGTATCCGGACATCTAGCAAATTCAGGCAAAAAGCGTATTAACCCCTTGACGTATGATTTCCTTTCCGACTGTGCATTTAAGCGTCAGCCATTTTACTCTTTTACTACTGCATCAGGTAACGAAAGCTTATCTGTTACCGATTAATTAGGATAATATAGGAGAATTAGGATAAGTTAGGATAATATAACTATTTTTTTCACATCTTCACCAGAATCTCTAACACGTTGTTGCAGGTCAAAGGGTTAATGATATATAATAATACAATTATTTCTCGAGAAAATTGATACTAATTGAAAGGTCTGTTTACATAATATGTAAGATTCATACCAGTAGATAATGTAAAAACATTGCTATAGTAAAAATGCACGAAGAATTTGGAGTTAGATGATTTTATCTCTTCTTTACTCTTCTTTAGTAACACGATATAATTTAATAGGTTTGTTATCTGACTAGAACTAGAGTTTTGTTTACATTTGGTAGAATTTTGTACCACTTAAGTCTGCTAAACGTGAAATATGCGATGCAAGACTCCTGTTTTCTTCAGTTCGAAATCTCTTCGTACGCGTTTTATCTGAATTTGCCAGGTTTCCGGATACTTATGGACGTGTGTGTACATACGCGCTCTATTTTCCACCGAAATTTCGCTTGTTTTCTCGTCGTTCCATTTATCGAGTTTATTTATTAACCATGTCGGTGTCATCGGTTCCCTTCGTATAAATAATAACGCTTCCGTTAACTTCGCGTGCAACAACGTTCGATAATCGATAATTCTTCCGTGTAGAAACTGTGGTTGAATGTGGCTTACGGTAAATATAGAATAATGAGAATTCGTGGCTCGTTGACTTCGTTCCTCTGTTATTTCATTTTACGCAATTTATTTTGTGAGAAAAAAAATGACGCTGCTTGAAATTTTGGGGCATGTTGTGATTTTCGAATGAATAAGATTTTTCTCAAGTAAATGAATGTGTTTTATGGAAAATACTATTGTGATTTAATAGTGAAATTGTAGTTAATTATAGTTCAAAGTGAAAGTTATGTTTTAGAAAAATAATAGAAATTTTCTTCTCCAGAAATTGTCAATTTTGTTTTATAATCTGAGTCGTTAATAATAATTATATAATTAGCGATTGATGCGATTTAAAATAAATAAATTAAAGTAAAAATACAAATTTAGAAAAGTGCTTTTTTCGTAGAAGAAACTTCCTTTTTTTTCTATGTGACTGTTTTTACATAATTTCGTCATTCTGGCGATTACGTTTTCAATTGTGTCTGATTTAATGTTGCTCCAAGGTTCTTATAAATATTGCTACAGCATTTTCTTTATACTTCCAGCCAACTCATCCCACATGAGTCTTGACAAACTTACGTCATACTTGTGTAATGCTACTTTAATGTACGAGTACAATATTTCTAATAAAACCGCTGCATATATTTGTATAAAAAAGCTTTTGCCGAAATAGCGAATAGTGCTTCAAATTTTTGAATGGTAGTGTATGTGTATATACAATATTTGAGACACGCAGAAACCAAAATAATTAACTCTATTCGATATTTACACTTTTTGACTTTAATACTTTTTAACTTTAACACTTTTTGATATTTCCCTTTTTGTCTGTAACACTTTTTGATTTTAACACTTTACGATATTTCACTTTTTGACTTTAACACTTTTTAATAATTCACTCTGAGACTTTAACACTTTGTGATATTTCACTTTTAGACTTTAACACTTTTTGATATTTCACTTTTTAAGTTTAACACTTTTTGATATTTCCCTTTTTGCCTATAACACTTTTTGATTTTAACACTTTATGATATTTCACTTTTTGACTTTAACACTTTTTAATAATTCACTCTGAGATTTAACACTTTGTGATATTTCACTTTTAGACTTTAACACTTTTTGATATTTCACTTTTTAAGTTTAACACTTTTTGATATTTCCCTTTTTGCCTATAACACTTTTTGATTTTAACACTTTATGATATTTCACTTTTTGACTTTAATACTTTTTAATATTTCACTCTTAGACTTTAACACTTTGTGATATTTCACTTTTAGACTTTAACACTTTTTGATATTTCACTCTTAGACTTTAACACCTTTTGATATTTCACTATTTGACTTTAACACTTTTTGATATTTCACTTCTTGCCTTTAACACTTTTTGATATTTCACTTTTTGACATTAACACTTTTTCATATTTCACTTCTTGCCTTTAACACTTTCAGATACTTCACTTTTCCACTTTAACACCTTGTGATATTTCACTCTTAGACTTTAACACTTTTTGATATTTCACTCTTAGAGTTTAACAGTTTGTGTTATTTCACTTTTTGATTTTAACACTTTTTAATATATCACTTTTAGACTTTAACACTTTTCGATATTTCACTCTTTTACTTTAACACTTTTCGATATTCTCCTAATTTTAGTGTCAAAGCACATGCTCAGTGCTTAATTCTCCACAAATAGAGAAAACTTAAAAAATTTAATTTCACGAAGTTAATCACTTTGGTTTCCGAGTGGCTCGTTTATGTTTGCCTAATCTGTATATATTAGACGGTTAATCGAATGGTAAAAATGAATCTGTACACGAACGTATGACCCAGTTAATCACGTGATACCCACCTTCGCAATCGACACCTTTCCGTGAAAACGAGGTAACTGAGAAATCTGATTCGCTCTCAGGGTTCACGAAAGGTTGATGCCGGCTGTAAAACGCACAGCAACCACCCGTTCTTACGTAAACTCGCTACTCCCGTTAATTAGCCACGCTGCGTCGAATGACCTATTTACAGGCGTGTTCGAGAATCGATAGGTTTTCGCTGGGGAAACCGTGCCATTTCCCACCCAACCGGTAAATTCGAACGCTTGGCAAATTAAAAATTCATCCTGTCGATCGATATCCACTTTCTTCTGTTTGTCCAGCGTGTTTGTTTCTCGCCTGACAAATTCTCCGTCGCTTGTAAT